ACATTTGATTTCTCCTTTATGACAACTATTGCGTGCGATGATTTTGGAGCTCCGAGGTTTTGTGGTTCGTCCCGGAAAGCAGAGAAGGTAACTCGTAGCGTCAAAGCCAGAGGATATTCAAAAGGGGAATGTCTCAGCCCTGCGCAGCTGAAAACATTGGAAAGCATATCAAGTGAGATGCGTCGGAAGGCATTTGGCATCTTCGAACCTTCTCCAGCGTCGGATTTCCATGACCAGGTTTCTAGTTGTTTCGGTAATCGTTGAGCCCCACAGCTCGGAAAGTCATGGTTGCAAGTTGCCAATGGAGTTTGCATGCGGCCGCCCCGTTCAAAGGGCCCCATCTTGAGGATTCAATGCAGATTCGGATTGCATTGCTTCGGAGTTCGCATGTCGCCCTTCGCTCATACACAGCACAGGCATGGGACATCGCAGAGGGTAAACTTGATTTGGTCGAAGACGCCTACGGTAATCCATCAGTGCTTGCGGCACGTTGGCCCACGTGGGAAGCGACGTCGAACCGTGCCCACGAAACACGAGCCGCTTGCGAGCGCATCCTCTCTTTTTTGCCAGGGTCGACGGGCAGTCAGTCTGCCGTTTTGGTCAGGACCTGCGGGCGAAACCGTGCACCGACGCCGCTCTGTGCACTGACCTGCGGGCTCCTGTTTTTGAGACGCTCCAGAGAGCTCCTCTTCCTCATCCTCCTACTCCCTTTTCCTTCTGCTCCGCCTCACGCGTTCCCCGAGAAGGTTTCAACGACAGCTGGGGGAACACGTGGCCCGATAGCTCCAGCCCAACCTTCGGCCACATGGGTGCCTGCAAAAAGGCAGAGCGCGGCGGTGGTTCGCCGTGGGAGTCTTCGACCCGGCGCCCCCTGTTGATTTATCACAGGTTCGCCTGGCGCGCTGAATGCGTGGCTGTGTTGGGCGATTGTCCAGACTTCCCCTGGGGCTTCGGCCCACCCCGCTGGCCACCCAGACAGCTCATCCAGACGCGTTGCCAATCGGCGTTTCCAAGTAAGATGGCCCCCGCGACGGCCAAGGTGGTCCCCCGAACGAGCAAGATGGCCCCAAGAGAGCGCAATATGGGCCCAAGACGGTCTCCAAGATCGCCCCCCAGGGGCCTCCAAGACCGCCCAGATGGCCCATGAGAGCCCAAGACGGTCCACGAAGCGCCCGAGAGGCCCCCATTGCAGCCCAAGAGGCCTTCGGATCACAGGGGAGAACTGGGGACAAAAGGGAACAACCATCATGTTCTAATCCGAGCGGGTCATCCAAAACTTTGCAAACTTAAGTTTGCAACACCTTCAAACAATCGCATTGCTGAGCTCACGTGAAGGGTGTTCTGTCACGGCTCAGGATTGTTTAGCCGTTTGTCCCACCTCAGCTGCCTTCACACCGAAACGTCATTGATTGTGTAAGTTTCTTAAAGACGGCTTTTCGCGGCAAGTGTGGGCCACTCAGTATGCCACTCGCGCGCGGGCGTGTCAGGCTGCTGTGCCGACTTGCAGGTGAGCTCCGCCTGCGGTCAGTGTAAAGCTCAGGAGCTTGTCGCTCGTGTCCTTCCTCCCTCCTACCTTCATTCTCTCCTTGCTAACACCGTTTTGCTGTCGGATCGGCCACAATTGGCCGAAGAGAGCGCTGCAGGGCCACGTGAGCCAGAGAGGCTTAGAATTTGCTGCAAAACCAGACAGCCCAAGAGGCCTCCAAGAGGTCGCCCAAGAAGGCCCAAAGAGGATGCAGTATGGCGTGCCCTTAGATTTTTGAAAGGATGTTTGCAGATGCTTCACAATTGCCCTCCGAAGGTCTCAAGACGGGCCGAGAGGCCCCCACGATTGCCCCAAGATCGCACAAGAGGCCTCCAAGATGACCCCAGGACTGCCCAAGAGACCCCCAGGTTTGCTCCCGAGGGGCCCCATGACGGACCAAGAGGCCTCCAGGATGCTCATAAGACGACCCTGAAGCGCCCCGAGGTAGCCCCAGGACGGCCCGGAAGGACTCCCCAGGCGGCTTTCGACGGCGTCAGACGAGCCAGGAACGCCGCAAGATGGCCAACGAGGCCCCCAAGGAGCCCCCAGAGGCCCCCGAGAGGCCCGAGGAGGCCCCCGAGAGGCCTCCAGGAGGCCCCCGCGAAGCTCCCAGGAGGCCCCAACAATGACGCAAGAAGCTCCCAAGAGGTCTCCGAGTCCTTCTCATCCTCCTCCTTTCCCCTCCCTCTCCTCATCCTCCTCTTCCTCCCCTCCTTTCTCTCCTCATCCTCCTCCTCCTCCTCTCCCTCCTCCCCTCCCTCTCCTCATCCTCCTCATCCTCCTCCTCTCCCTCCTTTCCCCTCCCTCTCCTCCTCCTCCTCTTCCTCCCCCGCGTGTTCCCGTCTGTCGGTCCGCGAAGAGCTGGCCGTCGCCGCCAAGCGCTCCTGCAGCTTCGGCTTGCCCCCCGCGCCTCGGTCGCGCTCCCTTCGGCGCGGCGACTCGCGCCGCGGCGAGTCGGAGCGATGGACCACGGGGCTTCCCGCTCGCGTCGTCGGCGGGGTAGTCCCTCGGAGGGATCTTGGTCTTCTCACTCTCGAGTTCACTGCGCTGGTCACTCCCGTAGTCCTCGAAAGGGGCTCTTGGCATCACGAGATGAAGCATGGACGCGTCATGCGCCTCCCCACAGTCGCACGTATCCGGGTCGTCGTCGAGGCCGCGGACGAGGATGAGCGGTGGGTGGTCGCTCTCGCAGGCGAGCTCCATCTCGCTGTGGCCCCGCTTGTCGACCACGCAGATTTGCTTCCGTTCGACGACTGCGTCGAAGTCGGCACTCTCGGGGTCGCCCCTCTCACCCTTCGCGTTGGCAGCGGCCTCCGTGATCTTGGAGGCGGCGCGTCCGCCTCCCTCGGAGACTCGCGTCTCGAGGAACGCAGGGGCCCTCGGGCAGCACCACTCGTGCCAGACGGACGCTCTGGCCGCACTTTCTCTCGCCGAGCGGCACCGGGCCGTCTCCCCGCCCGCGGCCCGCGGGAGCACGGGCGTCGGAGGCGCCCCGAGCTTGGCCGCGGTCCTCGGCGGCGCTCCGACCCCTCGGCGCGGGCCCCCCGGGCGGCTCGGCCCGGGCCGCGGCCACGCCCGCCCCGCCCGCGCCCACGGCGGGCGCCCCGCGCGGAGGGGCGGCAGCGGCCGTGCCGCCGCGGGCCAGCGCAGCACAGCCGCGCGCAGCGGCCACAGGGCCTGCCCCCCTTGGCGGCGCGGCCCGCCACGGCGGGGCGGGGCCTGCGCGGCCCGCCACGACTGGGCTGGCAGGGAGGCCGGGGGAGGCGCGCGCCGCCGCCCTGCCCCGCGCCCGCGGGCGCGGCCTCGGCGGCGGGCCTGCGCGCCGGCGGGCGGGCCAGTGGGAGGACGAACCTCCACTGAAGGCCGCCCGCTGGAGGGCGCGGGCAGGCCTGGCCGCGCGCGCGCGCCCGCGCCCGCGCGCGCGAAGGCTTTTTTTTTTTTTTTTCTCTCTCTCTCTCTCTCGCATGCTCTCTCTCTCTCTCTCGCATTGTCTCTTTTTTGGTTGTTCCCTACCTAGGCTCTGCCTAGAAGGGTTCTTACTCTCTGGGCTTACAGGGGCCGGGCAGTGGAAAGCGCCCCAAGCGATTCCCCCAGTATCCGCCCCGCGGTTCCCCCAATTACGTCCCCTTAGCTTAGCGTTGCTTATCTCATCTTAGCTTAGCTTATTTCATCATAGCTTCGCTGAGCTTTGGCATATCAGAGCACAGCATAGCATAGCATAGCGTAGCATAGCATAGCCACATCATATCATATCATAGCATAGCCCAGCATAGCATAGCATAGCGCAGCATAACCCAGCATATCATGGGTGTAATTACCTACCTAGGCTCTGCCTAGAGGGTTAGCTTAGCTTAGCTTGGCTTAGCTTATCATAGCGCAGCGCTGCGTTAGCATAGCATAGCGTAGCATAGCCGATCATAACATAGCATAGCGTAGCATAGCGCATCATAGCATAGCACATCATATCATAACACATCTTAACATTGCATATCATACCATATCATAGCATATCATATCATATCATGGCGCAGCTTAGCATATCATAGCTTAACATAGCACAATGCAGCATGCCATACCATAGCTTACCACATTTTATCATATCATATCATATCATATCATAGCATAGCGCAGCATAGCATAGCATATCATAGCACCGCGCAGCATAGCATGGCATAACATAGCATATAATAGCATAGCATAGCAACTAATGCTGCTTTCCTAGGGGCTCCAACTTCTAGGTAGGGTCGCACTGGATTAATTTCTCTCGTTCCCTCTATTTCTGTCTCTTTTTTTTTTCTCTCTCTCTCTCTCTCTCTTCCTCTCTCTCTCTCTCTGTCTTCCTCACTTTTCCTCTCGTCCTTCCATCTCTCTTGCTCACTTTCCTCCTCTCCTCTCTCTTCCTCACTCTTCCTCTCGTTCTTCCCTCGTGCCGCCCTTCCGCCGACGGCTGGCCCGCGCTGCGCCAACGCGGCCTATGCCGCGTGTGCCGCGCTGCGCTGGCTGTTCGGCGGCCCTGCCGGAGGTCTCCCCGGAGGTCTCTCCAGAGGCCCTTGGTGGTGGCCCCTGGAGGGTTCCTCGCCGGAGGCCTCTCGATCGATATCCCTGGGCGCCTCTGGAGGCAGAAGACGGGGAGGTCTCCAAACCTGGAGGTCGCTGCGGAGGCTTCTTGAGGTCTCCAGACGCCTCCCAGGTCCCCGACGTCATGATATTTTTCCCTCCGCGTCGGCCCCCAGAGGTCTCGACCGATTCCTTGGGACCGGTTCCTCATCTTGAGTCGTTTTCTGACGGCCTTGGGCCAAGCGACGGTCCCGAGAGCCTGAAATTTGCATAACATTATCCGCTGCGATTTTTTCACGTCGCGAGGAGGTCTGGGAAGGTCTCCAGAGGTAACTGGAGGTCTGTGGAGGCTTCTTGAGGTTCTCGGGCGCCTCCGGAGGCTGACGGCGGGGCACACCTCGATCCTCTCGGCCCGGAGGAGGAGCTCCTCACCTCGCAGTGCTGGGCCGAGCTGGGGACGTGCGACAAGAGCCCGGTGGGCCACTGCCAGGGGCCTCGAGTCTTGCCGGCCTGCTCTTTCCGAGGGCCGGCGGCGGGAGGCGGGTCCTGAGGGAGGGAGGAGGGGAGGAGGGGGGAGGGGGAGGGGAGGGGAGGGGGAGGGGGAGGGGGAGGGGAGGGGAGGAGGAGGGGGAGGGGATGAGGAGGAGAGGGAGGGGGAGGAGGAGGAAGGGGGGAGGAGGAGGAGGGGAGGAGGAGAGGAGGAGGGGAGGAGGAGGAGGAGGGAGGAGGCGGAGGAGGCGGAGGAGGGAGGCGGAGGCGGAGGCGGAGGAGGCGGAGGAGGAGGAGGAGGCGGATGATGATGATGATGATTGATGATGAGATGATGATGTGATGATGATGATGATGATGATGATGATGATGATGAGATGAGGAGGAGGAGGATGAGGAGGAGGAGGAGGAGGAGGAGGAGGAGGAGGAGGAGGAGGAGGAGCAGGAGGAGGAGGAGGAGGAGGAGGAGGGAGAGGAGGAGGAGGAGGAAGCGCTCTTGGCCTTTGTGGCCCTCCACGGGCCACGGGATCGGCAGGGAACGAGGTAGGGTGGAGATTTGGTTCTGGGCGAAGGCCCTGGGGTGCAGGACCCTTTTTCCCTCGGGACCCGGTTCCTGCATGCCACCAGGGTGAGCTGGATGAGAGGCTGCGGAGTGACGAGTGAGGTGGAGCAAGAGGGCGGAGGAGGAGGAGAGTCCAAGGAGGGAGGGGCACAGTGAGGAGAGGGATTCGGCGCATGGGGGGCAGGTGGAGCAGGTGGTGAGCGACGACGACGCCGCCGCCGACGACGAGCACGAGGACGAGTATGATGATGATGATGCTGTTGCTGATGATGATGCTGATGATGATGGCGATGATGATGCTGCTGCTAATGATGATGATGATTCTGATGATGAGGATGATGATGACGACGATGATTACGATGAGGATTATGAGGATGAGGATGCTGCTGCTGCTGATGTTGATGATGGTAATGATGATGCTGCTGATGATGGTGTTGATGATGTTTCTGTTGTTGAGGATGCTGTTGATAATGATGATGATGCTGATGGTGATGATGCTGATGACGATGCTGATGATTATAATGAGTTAATGCTGATGATGATTATGATGATGATGCTGCTGATGATAATTATGGTGGTGTTGGTGATGCTGTTGTTGATGATGATGATGATACTGATGCTGCAGATGCTGATTGCTGATGCTGATTATTATGATGGTGATGCTGATGCTGATGATGCTGATTATGCTTGTGGTGATGACGATGCTGATGGTGATGATGTTGATGATACTGATGCTACTGCTGCTGCTGCTAATGATGCTGATGATGATGATGATGATGATGATGATGATGCTGATGCTGATGCTGATGCTGCTGATGCTGATGCTGATGCTGATGCTGATGCTGATGCTGATGCTGATGCTGATGATGACGATGATGCTGATACTGATGATGATGCCGTTGATGGCGATGACGATGGTGATGAGCGAATGGCCTTCGGCCCATCCCGCCACCGTGCCTGGGTTGTGGTTATGAAGCCTATTGGATGTTCGCTGGGATCTCGTGGGGTGCTTCTCGTGAACCTCTGGGAGGCTGCTTCGTGGGGCCTCTTTTGGGCTTCTTGGGGGCCTCTTGGGTGCCTCCTGGGGGCCTCTTGGGGGCCTCTTGGGGCCTTCCTGGCGCCTCTTGGGGCCACCGGGGGGCCTCCTGGGGCGGAAGGCTTGCACTTGGGGCCGTCTTGGGGCCCTCTCGGGCTGTCTTGGGCGCCCCGTGTGCCGTCTTGGGGCTCTCTTGTGCGTTTTGGGGCCCCCGTGGCGGCCTCGTGGGCCGTCTTGGGGTGGTCTTGGGGGCCTCTGGGGCCGTCTGGGAGCGTCGGGAAGCCGAGAAGTTGAGAATGCCAAAATCCTTCAGACACCCAGGGAGAACGACGGATGACGGGAAGCGCCTCCGGCGTGCACCGTTGGTTCAGGGGCTTAATTTTCTCTAACTAAAGGGTGCCGATCGCATCCCGCACCTCGCTGGCGGATGACGGGAAGCGCCTCCGGCGTGCACCGTTGGTTCTGGGGCTCAATTTTCTCTAACTAAGGGGTGCGCGCCGCACCGGGAAACTCGCTGGCGGATGACGGGAAGCGTCTTCGAGGTACGAGAAGCAAGCGGGACGTTCTGGCTGAATCCTTGAGTAAATATATATATATATATGTATCTTTATATCTATGGGTTGCGCGGCCGCACGGGATCATTCGTTGGCGGATGACGGGAAGCGTCTTCGAGGTACGAGAAGCAAGCGGGACGTTCTGGCTGAATCCTTGAGTAAATATATCTTTATCTTTAACTATATGGGTTGCCGCGCCGCACGGCACGGGATGACGGGAAGCGTCTTCGAGGTACGAGAAGCAAGCGGGACGTTCTGGCTGAATCCTTGAGTAAATATATATATATATATATCTTTATATATATGGGTTGCCGCGCTGCACGGGATGTTGGGCGGATGACGGGAAGCGTCTTCGAGGTACGAGAAGCAAGCGGGACGTTCTGGCTGAATCCTTGAGTAAATATATATATATATATATATATCTTTATATCTATGGGTTGCGGGGCTGCACGGCGCCGTTCGTTGGCGGATGACGGGAAGCGTCTTCGAGGTACGAGAAGCAAGCGGGACGTTCTGGCTGAATCCTTGAGTAAATATATATATATATATATATATCTTTATATCTATGGGTTGCGGGGGTGCACGGGGTTTTCGTTGGCGGATTCCCCAAAATGGCCATTTCGCTCGAGACATCCTCGAAAAATCGAGGTGTTGGAGGCTATCGTTTAAGACGTCTTATGTCAAAAATGACGGTTTCGCTCGAGACATCCTCAAAAAATCGGGATGTTGAAAAATATCAAAAATTTTTGTTATGCATGAAAAATGAGCGTTTCGCTCGAGACATCCTCGAAAAAATGAGATGCCGACAGAGGTGTTTTAGAACCTTTTATGTCAAAAAAGACGTTTTCGCTCGGGACGTCCTCAGAAAATGAGCAGGTGGTCTGCCGTGCTCCCGTGTGGAGCACGGCAGACCACGGCCATTTCGCTCGAGACATCCTCAAAAAATCGAGGTGTGGTCTGCCGTGCTCCTGTGTGGTCTGCCTTGCTCCTGGGGGGCAAACCAGCAACACGTCAAGAAGTTACCCAGGGGACCAATCAGCAACACGTCAAGAAGTTATCCTGGGGGGCAAACCAGCAACACGTCAAGAAGTTATCCCGAAGGGGCAAACCAGCAACACGTCAAGAAGGTGCTGATGGGGGGCAAACCAGCAACACGTCAAGAAGTTATCCTGGGGGGCAAACCATTTCGCTCGAGACATCCTCAAAAAATCGAGGTGTGTCGTGTCGTGCGGGGCCTATGAAGGCTAAAAGAAGCCCGAGGCCCACGGAGCCCATTGGCCCCAGGGCCTCAAGGGCCAGCCCTGGGGGCCCGAAAGGGGCCCCCGCAGGGGGGCGCGGAGCGCCAGACGCCCGCCAGGGCCAACGGGGGCGCCTAGGCCCCAGGGCCACGAGGGCGGGCAGTGCCGAGAGGCAACAGAAGCAGCGAAGCTGCACAGAAGAGCTCACGTACACATTCAAATACAAGAAATGCGAATGCACGGAGCAAACGGAATTAGCGTCCGCACGCAAGGCAAGCAGCAGAAACGGAAAGCAACGGCTTGCCTCAATCATCGAGGGGGCCCCCTGCATTGCAAATACACCACGTGCACATTCAAATGCAGGAGACATAACCCACAGAACAACCACAGCCCCCCACATCCAATGGGGAACAGACGTGCAAGGCGAACCATCACTCAGAAGGCATTCCGAACACGCAGGGAGATGACGTCTCACCAGGAGCACTAACCACGCTGCTCCAACCACTCCTCCAATCCAAGCCTGGAGGCAGCGGCGCCCCGCCTGCAGTACCTCCAACGCTCGCTCCTTCATCCGAGGGCGCCTGCACCGTCGCGGCATCCGCTGTGAGCCAAGCGCGGGCAACGGCCGCCCTCGCACGCCACCAATCACGAGCCGCGACCTCGCCGCGAGCCCTGGCGCCGCCGCCCCCACGGAAGAGGGCCTGCGGGAAGGCGTCGAGGTACGCGGCGGCGGCGGCAGCAACATGTTCAGCAGGTTCGGCGGCTGGCTGCTCCCCAACCGAGCAAGCGGTGGCCACGTCGGCCTCGCCGTCGAGGATCACGCTGTCGGAGTCGGAGCACTCGCCAACAGCGCGCGGCGGCGCCGCCATAGCGCCCGCGGCCTGCACGAAGTCCACCACGCAGTCAACCTCCGACACCCCAGGGAAGAGAGGGGAAGGCACGTAGCAATCGCCGATGCGGGCGCCACGCCCAACGCGGGCGCGCCCAGCCAGATCGAACCCCAGGATAAGCTGCTGCCGCGCCTCGTCGCACTCATCGACGTTGACCTGGGCCTGCATCACCTGGGTACCGCCGCCGCCGGCAACGGGGTCAACCCCAGCTGGGGCGAAGGGCCTCGCAGCCGACCGCAAAGCCGTGCGCAGGGCCACAACTCGGCCGAGCTGCGGCAGCGCCTCAGCCTCGCAAACCTCCACGTGGCACTCGAACTTGCGCACACGCCTCGCCTCCAGCCTGGCGGACCGCTGGAGCCGCCGCAGGGTGAGGCCACACGCCGAAGCAACCCTGACCCCAGGGGCGTCGGCGTGGAGAGCCACATTCCTCCGCACAGCATCCTCCTGCTCGGGGGCCACTCCCCGCAGCAAGGCCGTGAGCGCGGGCACGATCGCCTCCAGGCGGTCGGCCAGCTCGGCGTCGCCCACGTAGGACGCGAAGCACCGCCGAACGGCCTCCAGCTCGATGCGCAGGGCCGCTGCCTCCGCGAGTGCCGCCTTCACTCCGTTGTCCGCAGCCTCGAGCGCCCGCCTCCGAGCCGCAGAACGCTCCGCGCGCGTCCGCCGCGGCTCGCCGAGGCAAGCGCGTGCAGCACCTGGAACACTGACCAGCGTCCCCGCCCGCGCCATCATGCCCAAGCGCCCGCCGCCGAGCGCCGAGCCAGGCTTGAGCCAAAATGGCTACGGAAAAAATCGAGGTGTGGTCTGCCGTGCTCCTGTGTGGTCTGCCTTGCTCCTGTGGTCTGCCGTGCTCCTCACAGGAGCACGGCAGACCGCGCGTAGGAACCGAGAGGAGCACGGCAGACCAAGACGAGGAGCACGGCGGACCGCGCGTAGGAACCGAGAGGAGCACGGCAGACCAAGACGAGGAGCACGGCAGACCAGGCACCAAGAGCGCCCTCAAGACGACGGAAAGGATGACCAAGACGAGGAGCACGGCAGACCAAGACGAGGAGCACGGCAGACTATGCCCTAAGAGTGCCCTCAAGACGGCCGAACAACGGCAGACCCCATAGGAGCACGGCAGACCACAGAAGAGCACGGCAGACCAACAGGAGCACGGCAGACCACACAAGAGCACGGCAGGCCACACAGGAGCACGGCAGACCACACAGGAGCACGGCAGACCACAAAGGAGCACGGCAGACCACACAAGAGCACGGCAGACCCCACAAGAGCACGGCAGACCCCACAGGAGCACGGCAGACCCCACAGGAGCACGGCAGAGCAGAACCAAAAGGAGCACGGCAGACCACACAGGAGCAAGGCAAACCACAGGAGCACGGCAGACCACACAGGAGCACGGCAGACCCCACAGTAGCAAGGCAGACCCCAAAGGAGCACGGCAGACCACCAGAGCACGGCAGACCACACAGGAGTACGGCAGACCCCACATGAGCACGGCAAATCCCAAATGAGCACGGCAGACCACAAGAGCACGGCAGACGACACAGGAGCACGGCAGACTCCACAGGAGCACGGCAGACCACAAAGGAGCACGGCAGACCACACAGGAGCCCTCCGTAGCCATTTTGGCTCAAGCCATTTTGGCTCAAGCCATTTTGGCTCAAGCCTGCTCGGGCGCGCGCGCGCAGCGTGTGCTTGGGAGCGATGGCGACGGGAGGGGACCCTCCGCGGTTCCCCCGCTCGCGCGGCGAGCGCAGCGAGGCTGCGCGGCGAGCCCGTGCCGCGGCCGATGCGGCCGTGCGGCACGCCCGTGCGCGCGCCGGCGAGCTGGAGAAGGAGGTCGCGCGCCTCAGGGAGGTCATCGCGGGCCTCACGGGTGGCGTGCCTGCTGCCGAGCCTGGTTCGTGGCAGGACAGGGAGGCGGCCGCTCGGCCCGCCCTGATCCTGGCCTCTGGCGGCCGGCCCGTGCCAGGGGCCGTGAGATTCCGCCGGAACACGGCCCTGCACGCGGCTCGTGCGCCTGCAGCGGGGTTTGCGGCGGCACCGCGGGCTGGCTTGGCCTGGGCGGCGGCGGGTCCGCGTCTTGGAGGCGTGCTCGGCCGGGGGGCGGCGGCCGCCGTCGTGTGCGAGGTCGAGATCTGCGTGTGCGAGGTGCCCGCGGGGCCCTCCCCTCCGGCCCCGCCGCGTCGTGAGCTGCCAGAGGCGGCCGACGCGAGGCGCACGCCGCTTAGCCCCGCGCCCTCGGAGCAGCTCGGCTTGCTGCAGGGCGACCTGGCGAAGCTGTCTGGGCGGAAGGGCGCGCTCGAAGAGGGCGACGAGCTCACGGTTGAGCTGGAAGCGCTCCCGCAGCGGCTGTGCGCGCTGGAGGACACCGCCGAGCCCAAGGCCGAACTGGAGGCGCTCTCGGAGCAGCTTGGCTCGCTGGCGGGCGACGCGGCGACGGTGTCCGAGCGGCAGGGCGCGTTCGAGGAGGTGGGTGCTGCCGATGCTGAAGCTGAAGTGGAGACGGCCTGCTCGGCGTCGGAGGCGGCGCCACAGGCCAGCACTGCGGTTCTGGCGTACCTGCACGCTCACCCTGCGGCGCTCCTCTCGGGAGGCGGCGGGGCCCTCGAGGCTCCTGTGGCTGGCGGTGCTGGTCCTGGCGCTGGTTTCGAGGGCAGCCGCGCCCGCAGGAAACGGGGTGCAAGCATGGGGCGGCGCGCCCGTCGCGTCCGCTTTGACCTGCGTCCCGTCGTCATCGGCACGGCCTTCGAGGAAGAGGCCGAGGCCCAGGTGCAGGACGGTTATTCCACCGAGGCCGAGGCCGAGATGATGGCGCTTTCGGAGCAGCTTGCCTCGCCGAAGGGAGACGTGGCGGCGTTGTCCGAGCGGCAGGGCGCGCTCGCGGAGGGCGCCGAGCCCGCGGTCGAGCTGGAGGCGCCCTCGGGGCGGCTGGGCGCGCTGGAGGAGGGCGCCGAGCCCACGGTCGAGCTGCAGGACGACCTGGCGGCGCTGTCCGTTCGGCAGGGCGCGCTCGAGGAGGGCGCCGAGGCCAGGGGCGAGCTGGAGGCGCTCTCGCAGCGGCCGTGCGCGCAGGAGGCGACCTCCGAGCAGCTGGTCTCGCAGAAGGGCGACCTGGCGGCGCTGTCCGAGCGGCAGGGCGCGCTGGAGGAGGGCACCGAGCCCAAGGGCGAGCGGGAGGTGCTCTCGAAGCCGGCCTCCCGCCACGCGTTCAGCGAGTGCCTTTTTTTCTTCCTGGGCGATTTCTCTGTGGCGGCGGTGCTATGCGTGGCCATTGGGCCCAAGACGGGTGTTGAGGCACTCCTGAGCTCGGCCGAGGCCCGCTTTCTCGGCGTCCGCCCCGGCACTGCAGGCTGGCCAGATGCCGAGGAGCGTGAGCGTGTCCTCGAAGGCCGCCTGCAGGTCGTCCAGATGCCGAGGGGCGTAAGGGGCCCCCTCGATGATTGAGGCAAGCAGTTGCATTCCGTTTCTGCTGCTCTGCCTGTTGCGTGCGGACGCTAATTCCGTTTGCTCCGTGCATTCGCTTTCTTGTATTTGAATGTGTACGTGAGCTCTTTTTTTTTTTTTCTGTTTTTTTTTTTCTTTTTTTTTTTTTGTTTTTTTTTCTTTATTTCTTTTCTTTTTTTTTTTCTTTTTTTTTTTTCTTTTTTGTTTTTTTTTTTTTTTTCTTTGTCTTTTTTCTTCTTTCTTTATTTTCTTTCTTTTTTTATTTTCTCTTTTTTTTGTTTGTTTTTTTTTTTTTTCTCTTTTCTTTTGTTTTTTTTTCTTTTTCTTTTTGTTTCTTTTTTTTCTTTCTTTTCTCCTTTCTTTTGCTTTTTTTTTTCTTTTCTTTTCTTTCGTTTTTTTTTTTTGTTTCTTTGTTTTTTTGTTTCTTTTTTTTTTATTCGTTTCTCCTCTTTTTTTTTCATTTTTTTTTTTTTCTGTGCAGCTTCGCTGCTTCTGTATGCCTCTCGGCACTGCCCGCCCTCGTGGCCCTGGGGCCTAGGCGCCCCCGTTGGCCCTGGCGGGCGTCTGGCGCTCCGCGCCCCCCCCTGCGGAGGCCCCTCTCGGGCCCCCAGGGCTGGCCCTTGAGGCCCTGGGGCCAATGGGCTCCGTGGGCCTCGGGCTTCTTTTAGCCTTCATAGGCCCCGCACGACACGACACACAGGAGTACGGCAGACCCCACATGAGCACGGCAAATCCCAAATGAGCACGGCAGACCACAAGAGCACGGCAGACCACACAGGAGCACGGCAGACTCCACAGGAGCACGGCAGACCACAAAGGAACACGGCAGACCACACAGGAGCCCGGCAGACGCCACAGGAGCACGGCAGACGCCACAGGAACACGGCGGAACCCACAGGAGCATGGCAGACCGCGCGCGGGTACAACATAAACGCGCCTTTTTGTTGTACCCCGAACGCCGCTGGCGTTTCCCCAACAGGAGCACGGCAGATCTCACAGGCGCGCGGCAGACCCCGAATGAGCACGGCCGACCACAGGAGCACGGCAGACCCCAAATGAGTACGGCAGACCCCAAACGAGCACCGTAGACGCCTCAGGAGCACGGCTGACCACACAGGAGCACGGCAGCCTGGGCCGGTTCCGGCGCCGGCCGGCGCCGGAAAATTGAATTCCGAGGCGGTGCCGAAAAAAGGCCACTCAAAGACATATTTTTCTTTCGAAAATATTGATTTTCTGCTCCCGGCGCCCGGGAACCCCTTCCGGGCCGCTCCCGGCACCCGGGCCGGCGCTCGAGCCAAACGCCCGGGCCAGCACCCGGGCCAGCGCCCGGGCCGGTTCCGGCGCCGGCCGGCGCCGGAAAATTGAATTCCGAGGCGGTGCCGAAAAAAGGCCACTCCAAGACATATTTTTCTTTCGAAAATATTGAGTTTCTGCTCCCGGCGCCCGGGAACCCCTTCCGGGCCGCTTCCGGCACCCGGGCCGGCGCTCGAGCCGAACGCCTGGGCCAGCACCCGGGCCAGCGCCCGGGCCGGTTCCGGCGCCGGCCTGCGCCGGAAAATTGAATTCCGAGGCGGTGCGGAAAAAAGGCCACTCCAAGACATATTTTTCTTTCGGAAATATTGATTTTCTGCTCCCGGCGCCCTGGAACCCCTTCCGGGCCGATTCCGGCACCCAGGCCGGCGCTCGAACCGAACGCCAGGGCCGGCACCTGGGCTGGCGGCCGACGCGCGATGCGCTGCCACAAGCCAGCTTCCCGCAAGATCGGTCCAGAGTGGGAGGGGACGGAGCTGGGCGGGTGAAGGACACCAGAGCACTGCTCCAGCCTTCCCTCAGCCCTGGGTCTGCTGACCACACAGGAGCACGGCAGACCACACAGGAGCGCGGCAAACCACAAAGGAGCAAGGCAGACCCCAAATGAGCACGGCAGTCCACACGTTCGCACGGCAGACCGCACAGGAGCACGGCAGACCGCACATGAGCACGGCAGACCAAGAAGGAGCACGGCAGACCACACAGGAGCACGGCAGACCACACAGGAGCACGGCAGACCACACAGGACACGGCAGACCCCACGGGAGCACGGCAGACCACACAGGAGCACGGCAAACCACACAAGAGCACGGCAGACCATACAGGAGCACGCCAGACCACACAGGAGCACGGCAGACCACACGTTCGCACGGCAAACTCCACAGGAGCGCGGCAGACCCCAAAGGAGCACGGCAGACCAAGAAGGAACACGGCAGACCACACAGGAGCACGGCAGACCACACAGGAGCACGGCAGACCACACAGGACACGGCAGACCCCACAGGAGCACGGCAGACCACACGTTCGCACGGCAAACTCCACAGGAGCACGGCAGACACCAAAGAAGCACGGCAGTGGTACGTGGCACTGCTGTGGTATGCCGTACTAAAAACGTGGAATATCTCATAAGCCCAGGGGACAAAAGGACGCTTCCCGTTTTTGTCCGGTCAGGTTTCATTGGCGGATTCCCCAAAATGGCAATTTCGCTCGAGACATCCTCGAAAAATCGAGGTGTTGGAGGCTATCGTTTAAGACGTCTTATGTCAAAAATGACGGTTTCGCTCGAGACATCCTCAAAAAATCGGGATGTTGAAAAATATCAAAAATTTTTGTCATGCATGAAAAATGAGCGTTTCGCTCGAGACATCCTCGAAAAAATGAGATGCCGACAGAGGTGTTTTAGAACCTTTTATGTCAAAAAAGACGTTTTCGCTCGGGACGTCCTCAGAAAATGAGCAGGTGGTCTGCCGTGCTCCCGTGTGGAGCACGGCAGACCACGGCCATTTCGCTCGAGACATCCTGAAAAAATCGAGGTGTGGTCTGCCGTGCTCTCCTGCTCCTCGTCTTGGTCTGCCGTGCTCCTCTCGGTTCCTAAGCCTGGTCCGCCGTGCTCCTCGTCTTGGTCTGCCGTGCTCCTCTCGGTTCCTACGCGCGGTCTGCCGTGCTCCTGTGAGGAGCACGGCAGACCACAGGACGGCAGACCACGGCCATTTCGCTCGAGACATCCTGAAAAAATCGAGGTGTGGTCTGCCGTGCTCCTGTGTGAGCTGTGAGCTGCGGGGCCTGTGAAGGCTAAAGGAAGCCCGAGGCCCGCGGAGCCCATTGGCCCCAGGGCCTCAAGGGCCAGCCCTGGGGCCCCAAAGGAGCCCCAGAAGGGAAGGGCGCGAAGCGCCAAACGCGCATAGCGCACGATTTCAAAGAAATCAAGAAGGCAGCAGGGGCAGGGGCGCGCACGCACGCCCAACAAGCCCCCCAAGCTGCAAGTGCATCATGGGCAGAAGAGCTGCCTCACGCACAGAACGGAAAGGAGGACGAGGGGCGGATACAACAGAAAGGAAGATGCAGCATCACTACCCCTCGTCACCAGCAGCGCGGCGGCGTCTCATGCGCCAGTCCTCGCGCGCCGTCTCAGCCACGGCTGACCGTTCACCACTTCTTCGGCGCCTCCTGCGGCCCGCATGCCACGGCACCGACGGCGCACTGAGCGCTCTGAGCGGGCCAATGGGCGGAGGCTGCCCTTCCCACTGCAGCTCGGCCAGCCACGTCCTCAGGCACACGTAGTCGTAGCGCCGCATGCAGTCCGACACGATCCTCTGCGACTGCGTCAGCGTGTGGCGCCACCGGTAGTAGGCCCGCCTCGCAGGCATGCCAGTCCCCCAGGCCCGCTCGCAGATCTCCTCGGCCAACTCCTCGGCCGTCCTCCCACGCGCCCGCAGCCTGGTGGCGAAGCGCGGCTGGGACAGGATCTGCGTGACGTAGCCGGCGCAGTGGTCCATCCACTCGCTGAAGCATTCCATCGTCTCGCCAACCTCGGGAGCCTGGGTCCAGTAGCGCGCCCATCCAGCGACCTGCAGCTCAAGCCTGGGCGCGACGCTGCGCCTCGGCTGCGCTGGCTCGGGCCGAGCCACCGCAGAGCCAGGGCATCGCTCCTTGAGCATGGGCGCAGCGCCTGTGCGCCCGCCAAGCCCCGCGGTCGCCCCGCAGTGGGTGCACGCCATCAGCCCCTGCTCGGCTGCGCCGTCTCCGCACGTGGCGAAGGCGAGCCCCTGCCAGATGAGGGTGGCTTGGGCCACCCAGCATGAGAGCTCCCTCACCAGCTCCATCGTGCCGAGGGACCCGCGCCTGGCCACAGCGCAGGCGCGGTGCAGCTCCGCACCTGCCTTGGCCCAGCGTACGGCATGACCGTTGCCGCGGAGGTAGGCTTCCATGACCTTGCCATCCAGCACGTCCCTGGCGATGCCGTGAGCTGCAACCATGGTCAACTTGAGCGTGTGCACGTCCAGCGAAGCGTAGATCCCCTCCCAGAGATGGGCATTGGGCTGAAGCCTCGAGCCAGTCGTAGAGGTGGACGCAGCCCTCACCAAGGCACGTCGCCTCCGAAGGCCCCAGGACGTGTCCCCGCAACGCCACGGCCATCCCACCTCCTCCAGGGACTCAGCCTCCATGTTAAAGTCGGCTTTGAAGACCCACGGGATGTAGGCATAGAAGCCCGTCGCCTCCACACAGCCGAGGCGGTACCGCAGGGCCGAGGGCAGCGAGGACGCCGACTCGTCGGCCTGCAAGCCGTCTCGCACCAGGATCGCCGCCCCGCCTGAGGTCGCCTGGGGCCCCTGCTTGTCCGACAGCACTGCCTCGGGGAGGAAGGCCACGCCTCCCAGGCCGCGGCCCTGAGCCGCCGCACTGGGCAGGCTCTCATGCGGGAGCCTCGTCTCCAGCAGCGCCACCACGTCGGGCCAGTAGTTGCACGTCTGGAAGAAGGCCTCAATGGCCTCAAAACCCCTGCTCCACGCGTGGCAGTTGCAGCCGAGCAAAACGAGGCCAGCCCGAAGCTGCTGGCTTCCTGCCCCGTCAACCATCGGCGCCTTGCAGATGACGGCTGCCACGCGGACTGCGCGTTGGCCAGCGCCCGGCACAGGGCACGCCGCGCCCCTGGTCGCGGGACCCTCCGCCCCCACCAGGACTGGAGGGGGGACCTGGCCCCACGCTCCAGCGCTCCTCATCGGCGTCGGCGGGCGGCTGGCCAGCAAGGGAGGTGACCGCCGCTGAGGAGGTGGCCGTCCCTCGACCCCTCCGGTTGCCAGCGGGGAGTGCCCCTGCCCATCACCATCGGGGCCGAGAGCTGCGACGACGTGGGGCTGAATCCCACCGCTCACGGCCCCTGACTGGCCGTCGGGGGGCCACCTCGGTGTTCCCGACCGCACCAGTTGGCTACTTCGGGCAAGGGTGCTCGGCGCCGCCCGCCGCCTGCGAGGGCCGCGGGCGCGCCAGCGGCCAAACCAGCGCCTCCTCCCCCTGTCCCAGCAGCTGGGCCCTCGCACGCCCCAAGGGAAGGGCGCTCCGCTGTCCCAGACGTCGAGGTCGGCGGAGGATACTGCCCACTCCGACGCTCTCGCGTCACCCACGGCGCGGCCCGTATCCAGCAGCAGGAGGAACCACAGCAGCCGCAGCCACCAAGGGGTCGCTGTCCGTGAGGGCCGCACCTTGCTCAGCGAGGGCCTTAGCGAGGCCCGGCTCCACCTGAGGCCACGTGCCCAGGGTCGCCCCGTGCTGGCCGCGGGCCGCTGCAGGGCCGTAGGGCCCGTCCACTGACCTGGCCCGCGGGCCTGGCGGCCCAGCCATGGTAGGCCCTGTCTGCGGGGCTGCCGCGGGCGGGGCGGCCGCGGGCCCCCCAGAGGCCACGATGTCAAGCGGCATGTCGTCATCCTCGGACGCGAAGCCATCATCCCCGACACTGTCGCCCCAACGCGTCCTGGCCGAGCTGCTGCGGGGCCTGAGCACCTCGGCGACCGCCTCCTTCTGCGTGTTGAGAATCCCGACGATCTCGGAAAACCTAGGGGGCAGCTCGGACCCGTGCTGCAGGAGGAGATCCGACAGGGCGCCGACCTGAGTGAGCAGCCCTTGGACGGCGTCCCCAAGCGGGCTCGGAGCACCTCCGACGGCCGCGTTGGCCCGCTGGATCGCCTGCTGCGTGACCTTGGCTCTGGTCTCCTCCAGCTCGGCAATCTGCCCCGCGACCTCGTCCACTCCCAACTCGGCTGCCGACAGCTGCTCCTGCTTCTCCGCGATAAGCTCGCGCAGCTCGGACGCCTGCAGCTGGAGCTTCTCCTTCTTGGTGCGCGCCGCGGCCAGCTGGCGCTCGACCTTCTGAATGGCGTTGGCCTCGATGTGGAGCACCGAGTGAGGTGGGCGCTCCGTCCGCTGGGCTTCCTGGACGGCCAGCTCACAGGCGGCGACCTGGTCCTTGCCCAGCTGGAGGGCGCTCTCCACCTCACGCTGGAAGTCCGCCGAGAGCCCGAGCGCCAGGGCCCCCTGGAGCTTGTCGACGCGCTCCCTGGCCGCCACGAGCTGCGCCTGCAGCTCCACGAATTGGGTCTTGGCCTCTCCCCAGGGCCGCCCACGTCGTGCCCTGCTGTTGGGGGGGCTGCTGGGCGCGGTGCTCCCCGAGAGGGCCCGCTGGGAGGCCGAGCGCCTCGCTGCCCGCTGTTCAGCCCTTCCCCTGGGTTGCTGAACGAACCCGTCAGCGTCCACTCTCGGGGGGCCCTTGTCGGTGCGGTACTCCTTCGTCCATGGGGGAGCACTGGTGCCGCAGACCTTGCACGTCCAACGCTTGTCACACCAGTTCCAAGCGTTGCAGCCACGCTTAGCACACAGCCAGTACGCCCGCCTGGCCAGCCCCGAGGCACCCTCCGACATGGCGGCACACCGTGGGACTGACTGCTGCTCGGCCGAGACTCTCGGCCCTGCAGGAACGAGGAGAACCAAAATTGGCGAAGCTTCTGGCTCTTGGCGAAGCGCCCCTCGCGCTCCAGAACGCCCGACGGACTCGCGGTCGTCGGGTGCGCCATGGCCTTGAGCCAAAATGGCTACGGACCGTGCTCCTGTGTGGTCTGCCGTGCTCCTGTGGTCTGCCGTGCTCCTCACAGGAGCACGGCAGACCGCGCGTAGGAACCGAGAGGAGCACGGCAGACCAAGACGAGGAGCACGGCAGACCAGGCTTAGGAACCGAGAGGAGCACGGCAGACCAAGACGAGGAGCACGGCAGACCAGGCACCAAGAGCGCCCTCAAGACGACGGAAAGGATGACCAAGACGAGGAGCACGGCAGACCAAGACGAGGAGCACGGCAGACTATGCCCTAAGAGTGCCCTCAAGACGGCCGAACAACGGCAGACCCCATAGGAGCACGGCACCTGTGGTCTGCCGTGCTCCCCACAGGAGCACGGCAGACCGCGCGTAGGAACCGAGAGGAGCACGGCAGACCAAGACGAGGAGCACGGCACCAGGCTTAGGAACCGAGAGGAGCACGGCAGACCAAGACGAGGAGCACGGCAGACCAGGCACCAAGAGCGCCCTCAAGACGACGGAAAGGATGACCAAGACGAGGAGCACGGCAGACCAAGACGAGGAGCACGGCAGACTATGCCCTAAGAGTGCCCTCAAGACGGCCGAACAACGGCAGACCCCATAGGAGCACGGCAGACCACAGAAGAGCACAGATTGCGTGCGGACGCTAATTCCGTTTGCTCCGTGCATTCGCATTTCTTGTATTTGAATGTGTACGTGAGCTAGCAATCGGTGCAGCTTCGCTGCTAGCCTTGCGTGCGGACGCTAATTCCGTTTGCTCCGTGCATTCGCATTTCTTGTATTTGAATGTGTACGTGAGCTCTTCTGTGCAGCTTCGCTGCTTCTGCATGCCTCTCGGCACTGCCCGCCCTCGTGGCCCTGGGGCCTAGGCGCCCCCGTTGGCCCTGGCGGGCGTCTGGCGCTCCGCGCCCCCCCTGCGGTGGCCCCTTTCGGGCCCCCAGGGCTGGCCCTTGAGGCCCTGGGGCCAATGGGCTCCGTGGGCCTCGGGCTTCTTTTAGCCTTCATAGGCCCCGCACGACACGACACGACACACAAGAGCACGGCAGGCCACACAGGAGCACGGCAGACCACACAGGAGCACGGCAGACCACAAAGGAGCACGGCAGACCACACAAGAGCACGGCAGACCCCACAAGAGCACGGCAGACCCCACAGGAGCACGGCAGACCCCACAGGAGCACGGCAGAGCAGACCCAAAAGGAGCACGGCAGACCACACAGGAGCAAGGCAAACCACAGGAGCACGGCAGACCACACAGGAGCACGGCAGACCCCACAGTAGCAAGGCAGACCCCAAAGGAGCACGGCAGACCACCGGAGCACGGCAGACCACACAGGAGTACGGCAGACCCCACATGAGCACGGCAAATCCCAAATGAGCACGGCAGACCACAAGAGCACGGCAGACCACACAGGAGCACGGCAGACTCCACAGGAGCACGGCAGACCACAAAGGAGCACGGCAGACCACACAGGAGCCCGGCAGACGCCACAGGAGCACGGCAGACGCCACAGGAGCACGGCGGAACCCACAGGAGCATGGCAGACCGCGCGCGGGTACAACATAAACGCGCCTTTTTGTTGTACCCCGAACGCCGCTGGCGTTTCCCCAACAGGAGCACGGCAGATCTCACAGGCGCGCGGCAGACCCCAAATGAGCACGGCCGACCACAGGAGCACGGCAGACCCCAAATGAGTACGGCAGACCCCAAAAGAGCACCGTAGACGCCTCAGGAGCACGGCTGACCACACAGGAGCACGGCAGCCTGGGCCGGTTCCGGCGCCGGCCGGCGCCGGAAAATTGAATTCCGAGGCGGTGCCGAAAAAAGGCCACTCCAAGACATATTTTTCTTTCGAAAATATTGATTTTCTGCTCCCGGCGCCCGGGAACCCCTTCCGGGCCGCTTCTGGCACCCGGGCCGGCGCTCGAGCCAAACGCCCGGGCCAGCACCCGGGCCAGCGCCCGGGCCGGTTCCGGCGCCGGCCGGCGCCGGAAAATTGAATTCCGAGGCGGTGCCGAAAAAAGGCCACTCCAAGACATATTTTTCTTTCGAAAATATTGATTTTCTGCTCCCGGCGCCCGGGAACCCTTCCGGGCCGCTTCCGGCACCCGGGCCGGCGCTCGAGCCGAACGCCTGGGCCAGCACCCGGGCCAGCGCCCGGGCCGGTTCCGGCGCCGGCCGGCGCCGGAAAATTGAATTCCGAGGCGGTGCCGAAAAAAGGCCACTCCAAGACATATTTTTCTTTCGAAAATATTGATTTTCTGCTCCCGGCGCCCTGGAACCCCTTCCGGGCCGATTCCGGCACCCAGGCCGGCGCTCGAACCGAACGCCCGGGCCGGCACCTGGGCTGGCGGCCGACGCGCGATGCGCTGCCACAAGCCAGCTTCCCGCAAGATCGGTCCAGAGTGGGAGGGGACGGAGCTGGGCGGGTGAAGGACCACCAGAGCACTGCTCCAGCCTTCCCTCAGCCCTGGGTCTGCTGACCACACAGGAGCACGGCAGACCACACAGGAGCGCGGCAAACCACAAAGGAGCAAGGCAGACCCCAAATGAGCACGGCAGTCCACACGTTCGCACGGCAGACCGCACAGGAGCACGGCAGACCGCACATGAGCACGGCAGACCAAGAAGGAGCACGGCAGACCACACAGGAGCACGGCAGACCACACAGGAGCACGGCAGACCACACAGGACACGGCAGACCCCACGGGAGCACGGCAGACCACACAGGAGCACGGCAAACCACACAAGAGCACGGCAGACCATACAGGAGCACGCCAGACCACACAGGAGCACGGCAGACCACACGTTCGCACGGCAAACTCCACAGGAGCACGGCAGACCCCAAAGGAGCACGGCAGACCACAGGAGCACGGAAGACCGCACAGGAGCACGGCAGACCACACAGGAGCACGGCAAACCAAGAAGGAGCACGGCAGACCACAGGAGCACCGCAGACGCCACAGAAGCACGGCAGATCGTCGTCGTCGTCATCGTCGTCGTCGTCTTCGTCAATAACGATCTCGAAAATTACGACAAAAAACGATGACAGAAAACGACCACAAACATAACACAAAAACCAACCGAACACGGAATCCAACAACAAAAAAACAATCAGAAAAACGACCGCAATCATAAAATGATAACGACGGCGACAGCGAGAACGGCAACAGCGGACGATTATAATGAAAACGACGACCACGACAAAGGAAAGGCACGCGACGACGACGACGGACAAACAAAAGACAAGACAGGCTGGAACAGAAAAAGTAGGCTGGGCGACAACGGGTGGGGGCCCGCGTGGCCGAGAGAAAAGCACGGTGTCGACACCATGATGTGGCCAGGGCAGCAGACTACCTCGACAGACCAGCGCGGCAGGCCACCATTTAGTCTGTTCTGTTGCGTTTATGGGTTTCTCTGACGTTCTCGCCAATACGGTCTCTGACGCACGTGGTGGATAAAAAACGGCGCTTCCCGTTCTTGTCCGGTCAGGTTTCGTTGGCGGATTCCCCAAAATGGCCATTTCGCTCGAGACATCCTCAAAAAATCGAGGTGTGGTCTGCCGTGCTCCTGTGTGGTCTGCCGTGCTCCTGTGGTCTGCCGTGCTCCCCACAGGAGCACGGCAGACCGCGCGCAGGAACCGAGAGGAGCACGGCAGACCAAGACGAGGAGCACGGCAGACCAGGCACTGAAACCGAGAGGAGCACGGCAGACCAAGACGAGGAGCACGGCAGACCAGGCACCAAGAGCGCCCTCAAGACGACGGAAAGGATGACCAAGACGAGGAGCACGGCAGACCAAGACGAGGAGCACGGCAGACTATGCCCTAAGAGTGCCCTCAAGACGGCCGAACAAGCGGGACGTTCTGGCTGAATCCTTGAGTAAATATATCTTTTCTTTAACTATATGGGTTGAGCACGGCAGACACCACACGAGCACGGCAGATCCCAAATGAGCACGGCAGACACAGAAGCACTGCAGACCACACAAGAGCACCGCAGACCTCACAGGAGCACGGCAGACCCCACAGGAGCACGGCAGACCCCACAGGAGCACGGCAAACCACAAAGGAGCACGGCAGACCACAGAAGCACGGCAAACCACACAGGAGCACGGCAGACCACACAGGAGCACGGCAATCCCCACAGGAGCACGGCAGACCGCGCACAGGTACAACATAAACGCGCCTTTTCTTGTACCCCGAACGCCGCTGGCGTTTCCCCCACAGGAGCACGGCAGACCCCACAAGCTGGCGGGAAACCCCAAATGAGCACGGCAGACCACAGGAGCACGGCAGACCACACAGGAGCACGGCAGACGCCACAGGAGCACGGCAGACCGCGCAGGAGCACGGCAGACCACACATGAGCACGGCAGACCCCACAGGAGCACGGCAGACCCCATAGGAGCACGGCAGACCACAGAAGAGCACGGCAGACCAACAGGAGCACGGCAGACCACACAAGAGCACGGCAGGCCACACAGGAGCACGGCAGACCACACAGGAGCACGGCAGACCACAAAGGAGCACGGCAGACCACACAAGAGCACGGCAGACCCCACAAGAGCACGGCAGACCCCACAGGAGCACGGCAGACCCCACAGGAGCACGGCAGAGCAGACCCAAAAGGAGCACGGCAGACCACACAGGAGCAAGGCAAACCACAGGAGCACGGCAGACCACACAGGAGCACGGCAGACCCCACAGTAGCAAGGCAGACCCCAAAGGAGCACGGCAGACCACCGGAGCACGGCAGACCACACAGGAGTACGGCAGACCCCACATGAGCACGGCAAATCCCAAATGAGCACGGCAGACCACAAGAGCACGGCAGACCACACAGGAGCACGGCAGACTCCACAGGAGCACGGCAGACCACAAAGGAGCACGGCAGACCACACAGGAGCCCGGCAGACGCCACAGGAGCACGGCAGACGCCACAGGAGCACGGCGGAACCCACAGGAGCACGGCAGACCGCGCGCGGGTACAACATAAACGCGCCTTTTTGTTGTACCCCGAACGCCGCTGGCGTTTCCCCAACAGGAGCACGGCAGATCTCACAGGCGCGCGGCAGACCCCAAATGAGCACGGCCGACCACAGGAGCACGGCAGACCCCAAATGAGTACGGCAGACCCCAAAAGAGCACCGTAGACGCCTCAGGAGCACGGCTGACCACACAGGAGCACGGCAGACCACACAGGAGCGCGGCAAACCACAAAGGAGCAAGGCAGACCCCAAATGAGCACGGCAGTCCACACGTTCGCACGGAAGACCGCACAGGAGCACGGCAGACACCACATGAGCACGGCAGACCAAGAAGGAGCACGGCAGACCACACAGGAGCACGGCAGACCACACAGGAGCACGGCAGACCACACAGGACACGGCAGACCCCACGGGAGCACGGCAGACCACACAGGAGCACGGCAAACCACACAAGAGCACGGCAGACCATACAGGAGCACGCCAGACCACACAGGAGCACGGCAGACCACACGTTCGCACGGCAAACTCCACAGGAACACGGCAGACCCCAAAGGAGCACGGCAGTGGTACGTGGCACTGCTGTGGTATGCCGTACTAAAAACGTGGAATATCTCATAAGCCCAGGGGACAAAAGGACGCTTCCCGTTCTTGTCCGGTCAGGTTCCCCAAAATGGCCATTTCGCTCGAGACATCCTCGAAAAATCGAGGTGTTGGA